TCTGGAAGGCTCAGAAGTTCTTCCAAGTTGCTGTCGTTGCAATCTGGGGAATGGTTTTCTTTTTGTGGTGTGCTTCTTTCCTGAGGAGTTTTTAGGTTGCGTGTAGTTCTTCTACTCCCTACTGTCTGTTTTCTAATTTGTCGTATGCGTTGGGACACTGTGTTGCTCGGACTGACTGACATCTTGGGTGAACTTCTCCGCTCCCTCTGGCTCTTCCAGGAGCCATCTCTGTCTTCTGGGGGAGCTTTCTGCTGGTTTTAGGCAGTTTTTACTGAAGAAATGTCCCTGTTCTCAAATGGCGAAGCGGGATGCAGTCCCTGCGCCTCCGGTTTCAGGCACACTCTTCTGCGCACCCGGTCTGCCCCGGACGTGGGTGCCTGCTCCCTCTGTGGGCTCAGACTGCTGGTCGGAAGGGGCCTGGCGTGGAATAACTTCCCGGCTGGCCACTGGGTCCTCCAGAAACCTTCTGCCCTTTTCAAGCAGTCTTAAGAAATGTCCTGTTTTATAGGGTGTTAGTGACTTTTTTTTTCCTGGTCGCTAGGTGGCGCCAGAGATCTCTCCTATTGTCCTTGGGGGGCTGTTTTTCGCCTCCCCCCACCCCGTGGGACAGAGAAAAGAGCGGGAATGGTAGGGTACACCTCAACAGCTTTGGGGTGCTGTGTCTGCCTTGTGCCCCACCGTCGTGGAGAAACCACGCCCCGAATTTCGTGCCCCGGGTCTCAGTTCAAAGCCCTCAGTTCCAGGACGCGGGCTGTAGCCCAGTTCAGTGGCGCGGGAATGGCGCCTTTTGAACCCCGCTCCCGTGCCTGGGCGCCTGGTTCCTGCTCACTCAGGGAGGGACCTTCACCTCAGTGAGGACCTCCGCGCGTCTCCCCGCAAGCCTAGGTCGTCTCCCCGCAAGCCTAGGTCGCAGGCGCGGGGACCTGGGCAGCCGCGATCCAGGTCTGCACTTGCTTTTCAAGAGCACCGAGCGCGCCGCGTTTCCGCGCCAGCTTACCGGCAGCCCGGGCTGTGTGCGCGTCTCCCGGGTCTTTGTTCTTCTCTAATGGCGCCCGGAGCCGTTCGCTCACCGCCGCGGCGGATCCTGCAGGGTTCGCCTCAGCTCCCGTTCACGGGGTGTGGTGGCTGCAATAGTTCCTTTCCACTCCCAGTCCCGCTTGCTGCGTCGTTTGTTCTTGTGGGTCGTTTTGGTTTGTTGTTTCCTCCTGTCTGCCGGTCGGAGAGTGCCGCCTCTGTGGGCGGGGAGGGGAGCAGGGTTCTGCGCTTCCCTCCCTTCTAGTCCTCTTTTATGGCCAGTTTCTTCTTCGGGCAGTTCGCTGGCGTCACCCGTTTATCTTCCGTGTCCCAGTTCTCACTGGGACCTGCCGCTTTTCCTCCCTATTCACTTTTTTTAATGGGAGATCTTACTCGCAGCGTCTCCTCGCCGCCATGTTGCTCCGCCCCCCTTCTTACAAGTTTTTTAATTGTTTTTTAAATCATTAGTTAAAAGTCAAGATAATTTCACGTTTAACTGCTATTCTGTTACACTTTTTCTATTAATGGTAGGAACATAATGAAATTATTTTGTCATGCTCAGTAATAAATGGAAAAATGTAGGCATTTATACTAAGCATCTTTGATCTTTTGAAACCATCCTGTAGTCCTCAAGCTTTCTATAGTGTTTGCCTTATCACAGCTTTGGGAGATGGCACAGTGACTCTTCAAAAGTAGAGTGGGAGAAGGAGCACCCTTTTCTGTCAGCTCCCCTAAAAATTTTAGTATTAATATTATTTCCTCCACACTCTTAGTCATTTTAGTCCATTACCAGGATATATGACAATTCTTAGTTTTAAAGCTCAGCACGTGAAATTAGCATGCTGCAGACCGGTGGTGTTCCTAGAGACGGATGATCTCAGGCACGTGGCGTGTACTTTCATACACCTTAAGATTGGTCCTTCTGCGCCGGCGGATTAGAGCAAGCAGGTGCTTGACTGCATTTGGGTCATGAGTGGGGGCCTTCCCATAGCTTGTTGATAAAGATTCTGTCATATTTTGGAAGAGCAAGTGTTTCCACTTAGATTGTTTGATATGAGTGTCATTAAAGTCGCTAAAGAATCCGCACTATCTTTATAGGAAGTGCTTAAGAATTGAAAGTGGAAGGTCATTAACAGAGAACAGTCTTCACCAGTTTCCTGAAACAAACAAAACTTTTCACGTGCTGAGAAACACAGCTAAGCCATGATCAGTCTTGCCTGAAGTCAAGAATGCGGCTCTGTGATGGCAGAGCAGAGCCTGGGGACTTGTGATGAGCGGAGCAGTGCGCCAGTGGGTGAAGAGGTCTTCCTCAAGTTGTGAAGCCTGAAATTATCAAAATAAATTAATATAGTTTTGAGGATTAGTTGAAGGCTTAACACAGGTTCTGGGTATGCTGGTAGCAAGAGAATTTAGACGATAGTTAATATCGCAGACATTATGGGCACATCTGAGATGTGGGGGTGAGGGGGAAGCCCTCCTTGGCTAGCTGACTTCTGCTCTGGCAGCTAACTAAATGGTAGACCTTTGAGGAAAGCTCTATTATGAATAAAACCTGAAGTTCATACCAGTTAAATTGGTTATTTTTACTTTGTTATGGTTATTCTGATTTTTTTTTTCCTGAACCAACCCACTAGATTTGATTTTGTTTTTGATGGAAATATTTCCTCCTATAAAATTTAATGACCCTGAATTTGATTGCAGAGATTGTTTACCGTAACCAGACCTGTCCCCCAAGAGGCAGTTTAAAACAGTTCCATTAGAGTACAGATAACTAATCGAAAAGAAAATTATGGAAAATTATTTAAAAAACAAAAAAGGAAAGCTATGTGAATGTAAGTTCAGATCTGGTCAGAAATTTTTGCATTCCTACCCTTCACGCCGCACGACGTATCAGTAAACACTGTATTCTCTTCTCATTGTTGTTTAAGTCCATGTTGATAACTGATGTATAGCTTTCAAGGGAAGCTACTTTAGGTTCCTTTGGTAGGCAGTGCCCCTGGCATAGGAGGCAGAGGAGACTGGGCTTTCATCAGTGGAGTGTTTCTTTGCCCTCTAGTCTTATGGTAAGGTGTTTGAGTGTTTTTGTCTGGATAAGGAGAATTAATTTTAAAATTTCTTTTGCCCCACAGGACCCTTAAGTCTGCTACCTTGAATACATGAAATCCATGAATGCGTTCATGTGTACTTTACCTATGAACAGATTTATTCATGAGGCATCTGCCAAGCTCTGCCCGCTCTACTTAGCAGGCACTCTTCTAGGCCCTGGCAGTTCAGCATTTAAAACAGACGAAATTTCTACTCTCCCAAAAGGGTAGTATCTTGGATCTTACATTCTAGAAAAATGATAAAGGTGCCTTTTTCTCCTGTCTAAAAGAAGACTGGCCTGAGGTTGTGCACTTTATGTGGTAGAGCTTCTCATTTCCAGACCTGTGACTGGGGAAGCACATACCCTGCGGCTGCCAGTGCCTCAGTCTCACTCTCAGAGGGACCCTGTGATTTTCCCAGCTTGCTCGTGTACTCACTGCAACCTCTAGTCCTTTCTAGTGTGTACCTTCGGTGCCCCCACCCTGTCCTGGTTTCTCCAGCCCTCCTGGCCTTTCCTGTGGACGCCATTGCTCGCCACAGCTCTGTGTGCGCATGTGCACACATCTGTGCCTTCTGCTCCGGCTGGGCTTAGATGCCTCAGGCCACAGCTGTGTCTGGCCTAGCACAGTGCCTTACATGTAGTAGCATTTAGTATCAATTTTTGTTGGCTTAAAGCTATTGTCTTAAAATTTCGTAAAATCATCAATTCCTTTGAAAAGTGCTCCACGTTGAATTTTAAAAAAATGCCTTGCATTTCTTGAAGAATGGTCTTTTGTGGTTAGAATCAAACTACTTAGCATATCAAACCCTTTACTTCTGTTTTTAAAAATTGTATTGATTGTCCTTATGTGAAACTTCTCTGGGGAGCTCCTTTTATGCTCAGTTTGTTGTTTTTCATGTTCATTAACCCCACAGCCTTTGGTGGGAGGGGTGGAGTCACCTTTCTAATCAGGCAAAATGATATGAGTAAATTGTTTGACATTATCTTTTTTTTCCAATAGAAAAGAATATTCCCGGCCGTTTTTCCTCATCATAACTCTTTCCCTCCTACCCCCCTTCTCCAAAAAGTTTAAACTAGATTCAATAATTTTCATTAAGTTTTTTTTCTTGTATAATCTATGACTACCAAAATAAACAAGTAGGTGTCACTGGAACTTCCATTTCGTCAGACCCAGTGTCTCTGTCTGAAACCCCAGTAAGGGAGGACTTCAGCAGCTCAGCTTCCCAAGGAATAAGCATTGACTTCGGGGGGGGGTGAGACATGCAGGGGGAGAATTTTGTCCACAGCAAGAAAAGTAAAAAAAAGCAGTCACCGGATTTTAGGGAAGTAGTTGGAGTCAAACTGCACCATTCACATTTTGTTGGTTGGTTATAAATTTTATTCCCTCTGTTGTTCCTGGTGACTCACTTTAGATAGAGTCTGAAGAATTCTAGATACAGAATTTTAATTTTAAATGAGTTGGGTGAATTAAAGTGAACCATACAAGCTTGAGTATAATTAGAAAGTGAGTGTTAAAAAGAAACAGATTAATCACTTTAGACTTTTGTTTGTCATGAATGGCAGAATTTTTTAAATCCTGTATACCAAATACGCCTTTGTAGGTTCTGGTGCTGTTTTGAATGAAAGAGATTATGGATAAATGGATAGATGGTATTTAAGGACCTGAATTATTTATTTGTATTTAAATAATTGGACTGTAAGACTATTAATTACTATCTTTGTATCCAAGACTGAGTTTTCCTTTGTAAGCCTAAATTCCTCCTACTTTGTGGATGCTCTTCCATTTCATACACTTGCGGGTTAGACGCATGGCGGTTAGTTTTCCCTGTGTGTGGTAGAAACAGACTGCAAAGTCACGCAGCGTCAGCCCGCCAGTCGCTGACCTTCTGACCGCCCGCAGGTCTTGGGCCCGGCCCCGCGGTGGTGCTCCTTCCTGGACAGCCTGACAGAGGAGCTGGAGGAGAACCCGGAGAGTACAGTGTATGACGATTACAAATTTGTCACCAAGACAGACCTCGAAAACCTCGGTAAGAAAAGGTGATAAAATGTGTCTGGGGTTATTTTATCTCTACTTGGTTTTTTGTTTTTAATTTTGAACATTGAGGTGGTGGAGTCACCACACAGATTTTCCAGATCTCCTCTTTCTGCTGAGTGAGATGCTAAGCATAGGATAGCTTGTCGCGGCGGAAAGAAAGGCTCAGATAAAGAAGCAGAAGCACAGGGATAGTAAAGAACCTTGCTAGAGGCTTCATGGTAGTAAATGTGAGGGTCAGAATTCAAACCTCGAGTCCATGGTCTTTAAGCCCCACCAGCCCCTTGGGAAAGCCTGACTACCCCAGCTGCCCGGCATGGGCGGGGAGGAAAAAGAGAACGCACTTTGCTCATCTTTTTCTTGAGAAAGGATCCGTGGCAAATTGTTAAAAGTGGGAAAACTTACAGGCAACGTAGTTGTATTTGGAACAGATATATACAATAGCAGTTGAATGTTCCAAACACATAGAATCAGTAGTAAGATTCTATGAGTAGAGATTCTATGAGTAGAGATTCTTAAACTTTATTTTTAACCTGTATCTCATTAGTTCAGGCAGAATTATTTTCTACCAAATCATCACCAAAATAGTTCTTTAAATTTAATGTACTCTCCTTAAAAAGGAAAGAATTATATCCAACCTTTTAGAAATTCCTTGTGGATAGACTCTACCTACTGAAATACCTTCTTCAATAAACTTCCCTTATTTCTTAAGTTTATTAACATTAAATTCTTGCAAGTTGCAACTTTTCCCAGCTGTGGCTCTTAGCAGAACCTCTTGCCTAGATTTTCCCAGAACAGGTTCATGGAATATTACTTGTGCCAAAGTGGCAGATGGAGAGCCCCCTTGGCTGGTCTGCGGGCATTAGAGGCACAGCCCACCCTTGCCACATAGTAGCTGTGTGGCTCTGTTTACTTCACCACCTCCTGCCTTGTGTTCCTCATCTCTAAGATGGAAATAACATCAGTACCTACCTGTAGGATTGCTTGGAGAATGAACCAGATATTGCCAAGAGTGCAGTACAAGTCCAACGTAACCAGTGAATGTCAACTGTTATTTTAAGAGACTTGTGGCAAAAAACAACAACAACAACCAAAAAAACAAAGTTTGGGAAACGCTAGGTCAAGCAAAGTTAAATACACTTCTTTATGGACTTTGTTGAGCCTTTAACATCATCACAAACTCTGTTTCCAGGAAGGAGAGGAAAGGATGAAACATTTCCCAAGCTTAATTGCTCACAGAACCTTTTCTTCTTCTGAAGGCCTCCCGGGACTTTCTGTGGAGCTCACTATGGGAAGTGTTGCTGTTGTCAGACTTTTGTCTAGAACTGTTTTAATGTGAAAAGCTTTCTCCTGGCTTTTATTTATAGCCTAACTTGGAATGGGAATAATGTGTGACATAAACGTAAATTTGACACTTACTAGAGGGAGCAGAAATGACAAAACCACATGTGCCGCTACTCAGTGCACATTGTTGTGAGCTGGCGCATTCTGTTACCGTGCAGCCCCCACGTCCAGATTCCGCTGTGGAGATCCACATGCTGTTGTTTTGCTAACCTAACATGTACTGAGATTTTCTGTTTAATTTTGCCTTTTGATGTCATTCAGTGATGTATTTTATATAGCCTTGTGATTTTTGCCTAGTGCCTAATGTCAGATCTGGATGGCTGTTTGAATTTTGGAAATCAGGGTAATGTTTTCCTTAGATGTACAATCACAAAGTATTATACCAGCCTGAACTGTTCTTCACTTGGTATATCACACAGAGCCTGGAGGCTGTTTTGAAGAAAGTCTCGTGCCCATTCTCTGTGACTAGTCAACAGCCAGTGAATAGACTCAACTTCTCAGACATAGGCAGAGCATCCTTGTGTGGTCACCAGCACCACTCCCTCTTGATATAACCTGCAGTGTCCCTAGGAAATATATTTTTCAGGGCATGACTCCCCGCACTGATTGCGGTGACCTCATTATTTAGCCACGGTGGAGTATGTGTGTCCGCGGTATTTCTGTTAACGTGCACGTGTCTATAGCCATGGGTATAAATTTTCAGCTGTTCTTCCTCGGGATAGAACATGCCCCTGTGTCTTGTTGTTGTGACAGTGTCCTTTGTTTTTGGATGCCCCCCAACCCACAACGACTGCCCCTATTTGGTAATATAAAAGTTAGCAAATTATTATTTTTTAAATCAAACTGGTTCATGAATTCAAAAATCTGAGAGCCTGTTATAAGGAGCCTTCCTTTACCACTTTGTCATAGTTCATAAAGACTTTCTGATCGTTTTTACGTCAAGTAATTGTCTTCAAAATAAGTAAAGACATTGCTGCAGTAGATTAAAATGTTGCCATTATTAAAAATCAGTAATTTTAATCCTTAAAATTTTAATCAAGATTTCATAAGGCCCTGCCCTCTTCTGATTAACTTTTCCGTAGGGCTCACCCATCTCGTTGGATCGCCTTTCCTCCGGGCATACATGCATGGCTACTTCATGGACATAAGGCTCTACCACAAGGTACACACAGACGGCAGTCGTTTTAGGTGACTAAGCGACCTGTACCCATTTCTTTGTCTGCTTGCTCGAATTCTCATAAAACATGCAGGTGATCGTAAGAGATCTGTCTATTCTTTTGCCTCACAGTCATGGTTTCTATGAAACATGGTACTAAATACAGTTATTTTCTTCACTTTGAAAAGGTGAAATTGATGGTAAATCCATTTGCTTATGAAGAATATAGGAAAGATAAGATCCGACAGAAGATAGAAGAAACGCGTGCGCAGAGAGTTCAATTAAAGGTAAATACTATCCTCACCCCCATGTGGGGGCAGGGGGAGGCGTAGATATACACACAGTCGTTAGTACAAAGAAAGTGGCTGTTGTTCCTTTTCCAGATTGTTAAGTTTTACAAATGGTGAATGTGTGTCAACTGCAGGGAGTCTGGGGCGTGGACCACTTTTGTTCCGGCTCTTGAAGAACTTGTCAGGTTGCATCTTACTTGCGTTACCCTGGAACATGAAACACTGGGTGGAGAAGAACATAAACAGCTTATGGCTTTATCCTGAGGGTTGTCATTCCTACATGGAGAGATTTGCCTTGTTAGGAGTAGGAAATAGTACAGTTAGTATTATTAATAGAATTTTAGGGATTCCCTACTACTCCAACCAGAGATTACAACATCTGGCCTCCTGGCATTAGTCAGGGGCCTAACCCCTGTGACCTCAGCCAGCCCTGTGACCCTGCCAGCAGTAGGGTTCCTACACTGGTGACCCCCAGTGGCATCCCTCCATCCATGCTGTGTCCTTCTCTGGGAATAGTGAAATTTTAAAATTGGGGTATCTTCTATTTGTGAAGTTACACTCCTTATAGAGCCACTGTTTTGAAGCTAAAATCTAGCATTTTTTTCCCCTCTACCAGAAATTGCCAAAAGTTAACAAAGAACTGGCACTTAAATTAATTGAGGAAGAAGAGGAGAAGCAAAAATCTACATGGAAAAAGAAAGTTAAGGTAAGTTTTTATATGGCTGAAAAAATATTGATAAATGGCATCTACATTTTCTTGATAGTAACTTGTATCTTTATTTTTTCATTTTATGTAAAAATACATGTAGTTCCTCTACCCCCACACGCTTATAAGATCTATATCCTTGATAGGGGAAGTTTGGAAAACAGAAAAGAATAGGAAAAAAAAAAAGGCACCCATATTATTCTAATAGAGGAAGGCATCATTAATATTTTAGTGCATTTCCTTCCTGTCTTCTCTTAAAATCATAAACTCTAATAGCAAGATAATATTGCAATGGAAAGTATTCTGGTTTAATAAAATATCACACTGGGTTTCCTATTTCATTAAAAATTTCTTTGCAAGTATTTTTGATAGCTGCATATTCTTATGGATGTATTAGAACTTATTGATCCTTTTATTAACATTTACATTACTAGTTATTTCTTTGTGCTAACTAGATTTGCCTATAATTCCAGACGTGATCAATTTTTATTTAGATTTAGCACGATTGGGCGTATGCATGCTGGCTTGTAACTGCCGCCTGCCTTATTTTACTGATAGGAAACTACACAGTCATAAAATGAATGAGGGTTAGTGCTTCATTTAGCTGATACTGTCAAGAGAGATTTTTCTTATTTTCTCAGATACATGTGGACGTCCCCATTCTTACCAGTCCTGTTTTCTCATCTGCTTGACTCTGGCAGGCAGATAACCACATGTGTTTGTTTTCTGGAAGAGGTTGTAAAGATCAGTTTTCTCCACAAAGCCTGCCGAACATGATGAGGCAGCAGCCTGATCATACAACTTTGGGCCAGCGGTATTGAGCACTCGGGTGATTTTTGTTTGTGTGTCTGTTCTCACTCTGTTGTCTCTCTGGTTTCCAGCCGGAGAGTTAAAGCCATGTGGATGCGGGTGGGTGCTTCATGTCCTTAGTTTTGTTCCATCCTCTCCAGAGACGCCAAGGGATTGCAACTCAGGAGTCTTGTTTCTGGCCTCCTCGCTCACTGACTGTGTCATCGTGGGTAACCGCTGTCTTCATTGGGTCATGGTTTTTTCCTTGTAGAATATGCAAGGATAGTCCCAGTAAGGGCATTCTTGCTGCTGCGATTGCTAATGGGTTCACGCTTTCCCTGTTACCCTCTGCCCCTCATCCTTTCTGCATCCTCGCAGCCAGGTCTGTTATCTTCCGTAAATAACTACTGAAATCTTAACTTTTGGACGCCTTCCTCAGGTAAATGCACGATGACTTTGTCTCTCTTTACATATGTGAGTTAAATACCCTGTCAAAATAGTTGCACACCCACCAGCCTCATTCACATCTCAGGGCTCAGTGGATCCCCTAGATGACGCTGTTTCATAATAACGTCATTTTGTAATAGTGCCGTTTGGTTATAATGTTGATGAGGGAAAAACGGTTAGTTCTGGCCAGGGTCACTGTGTGGTTTGCACGTTCTCCCCGAGGCTGTGGGGTTTTCTCTGGGTGTTCCAGAGATGTGCATGCTGGTCACTTGCATGTCTCAGAGGTCCCCATCGAAGTGAGTGAGGGTGTGTGTATTCACCCTTCAACGGAAGGGCCGCCCCTCCGGGGGTACCCCCTTGACCCAGAACAGCCAGGATGGCTCTGGCCGCCATGGTTTCTGAACTGGAGTAAGTGGTGACAATGATTGCGTGCAAGTTACTGTTTAGAATGTGTGTGGTCTTTATTTAGAAGGTTGGTTGTGTTTCTGTGACCTGAAATGTACTTAGAGGAACTTAACTCTTACCGAATGTCAGCCAGCTGTGATCACGTTGGCTTTGGTATCCGTCATTTCACTAATGTTGCAGTTTCTAAGAACCCGTTGATGGTAGCCAGCGAGGACTTGGTCTCTGTGAACGCTTAAGTCCATCTTGGCTGTGTTGACTCCTTCCCGCACGGACTCATGTTGCTGCTCCTGTCGGCCGAGGGTGAGGTGATTAGAGAGATGCCTTTCCAGCTCCATGATGTCATTTTATGAGCTTCATGGAAGCTGTCTGGAGCCCGCGCCGTCTGCTACAGTGGGCAGAGCGGCACTATCCAGGCTCCAGATAAAAGCCTTCGATCTGTGTTCTGTGCAGAGTCCTTCTCATCACGTTTCCTGTTATGGAGCCTGGGACACAAGTTAAAATTAAATTTTGTTACTCGGTGCAGCATAGCATAGATAGCACAGGAGCCTTTTTTTGTGAGGCTGTTCTATAAAGATGTGGGAAAGTCCCCTTCCCTGGAACCCATCACCTTTCTTGCATGGACTTCTGTTGATGCGGGAGCAGCCAGAGGGTTTATAACCTGGCAGTCCCGTGTGCACTGCAAAGCAGGTGGGTAAAAATGACCACGCGCAGGCAAAACTATCTCCCTGGCCAACGGGGAAATCGTGCTTACCCTGCCCCTTAAGGTGTTTTTGTCAGAGCATTAATGGGGTCACCCTGTGAAGAATAATCAGGCTCTGTGCTGTTTAAACAGCACAAACAGAGGAAGAACCTGAGAAGTCCTGGTCTTCTGTCACGAGACAAGTTTCCTTCAAGCTGGAAGCACCAGGCGCCATCTTTGCAGCCATGTCACCTGATGAAGTGCTACTAAAAAGTGGCGTTTGTGAAGTTGCCCTAATTGGCTTTTTTGGTGGCTTGCTGACCCAGATCAGAGCTCAGTTATTTCTAGAAATACTCCGTCTTCTAAAAGCTTGAGACTTGTTCAGACAAAGTTTGTATGATTTGTTATTTAATAGTTTTATCTAATTAAATTGAAGGCCTTAAAAATCATTCATGATGTGACGAATCCTTCATTATAATCGTAAAGAATGCCTAAAAGATCTGTTAGCTCCATCAGCAGTAGACGATTTGACTTGTCATTGAACTTGGATCTTCAGACCCTCAGCATTTAATGGCTCTGATAACTCCTGATTGGGAGTCAGTGTGGTATTGTTACCTTCTGCTTTAGCCCCTGTGCAGCTTCACGGAGGCAGGTGGGAGAGTAGAGCTGCTGCTGACTTGACTAGAGGGTAGTAGGGCACGCGCCAGGCTGGCGGTGAACTGCCATGATGTGACGCACCGGGTAATGTCTAAAGTGTTACCTGGACCTTGTCCAAGGCATTAATACTAGTTTATAGTTAATTCATTAATTCTTCCAGCAAATATGTCTTGAGCTCCGGTGTACCCAGGAGGCTTTGAGAGGTGTCAGTGATCCGTTGGAATCGTAAAGATTTGAGTGTTGGTGATGCCAGTTTTCACGACGTGTCATTTCCTGCCTGTTAGCCTTTTCTGCCAGTTTTTAGTTACTGCCTTAAAGTTTCCTAGGCACGCTTCATGTCCTTAGATTCTGCAGCAGCTCAGCTGAGTGTGGTCCTGCTTGGCATCTTTAGGCCAAGTGTATTCTGTGGCCTGGAGACTGGACGAGGCATCTTCAGAGCCACAGGGATTGTTCCATACCCTTACGGATTTGCACTAGAGCAGTAGTTCATCTTTCTAGGGAAAAGGTATAGTCACACATAGACTCTCTGACTTGGATCAAAATAATACTTTTAAAGCTTTTTAGTACCCACTGAAAAATGGTGGCTTTCTTTTTCATTAGTTTTAAAACAAATAAACCCCTAAGGCAGAAGCCATGGCTCCTCCTTGCTGCTCCCCCTCAACTTTTCACCTCTCTTGAGATATGTTGGCCTTTGGAGGGCAAAGCTGTCTCAAAAGCCCTCCTTGACTTTTACATGACAGATGTTGTCTTTGGTGACCTTCCTTCAATGAAGTCATAGTTTGGACCCAGTCCGTGTTCGGCATTTGCGCTGCTGTAACTGCAAATGCTCTTCACAGCAAGGCAGAGCGGTCACATTTCCTGCACAACCTTTCTCTTCCCTGGGCTTTTTTGTTTGCTTTCCATGTAGTTATCAAATAACCCTCAGTTCTAGACAGTTGTCTCAATCTCATCTCAGGATACTGAAGATCAGTTATCTCATCACTGTACTTCCCTGAAGAAGCCTCTTCTACAGCCTTCTGCTCCTTTCAGAACCTTCAGGTCCACAGCCATCACCCTAAGGATTCACTCTGCCTCAGCCCTGCACTGCCTGGATACAGAATTAGAAGAATCTTCGATTTTTTTTTTTTTTTTTGGAGTCAATGTGGTGTAGTTACCTTCTGCTTTGGCCCCTGTGCAGCTTCACGGATGCAGGCAGGAGAATAGAGCTGCTGCTGGCTTGAGTAGAGGCCAGTAGGGCATGCACCGTGTGAAGGCGTAGTGTAGAGATTTTTGGACACGCGTGTTCCCAGCGACAGCATATTTTCTTGTGTGCTTCTTTTCTTCTGGAAGTTCCTTAGAATTTATTTGCTCCTGCAAAATAAGAGAGTGTGCAGGAAAGGGGAAGAGTGCTGGGGAGTCTCTGCAGAAGGCGCTGGGCTGTTTTCTATCCAGAAATCACCCCACAGCGCTGGCCGCTTGGTGGGTCCTTTTAGTCTGAAAGAAGTCTTTCCTCACTGCAATCCTCAGTTGTTCATGTTTAATAGAGAGGGTCTCAAAAAGCAGAATGGGAGCTCCGAGGTGGGGCCCGGGCTCATCAGTCCTGCATGGTGACCTAGCCAGGCGCTCACTGGGTGACACACTGGACGCCGTATCTTTGGCCTCCTCTGCACTCAGAACTGGGCACTGTCGTGCGAGCTTTGGGATACAGGCCACGTGGCTCTTCCACCCTAGCAGGTGACTGCTCATCAGATGCCGCCTGTTTCTCTTGCCCTTGGGCAGCCCTTGCCCCAGCCCGCTTTGTCTTCCTTCTGCCATTGAAGCCTCAGGCAGGAACTCAGCCTTCCTTTCCTGCTTCCAGATGTATAATGGGTGAGTCGCTCTTTCCTGTCTTCCTCACCCTTAAGGCCTAGTCTTTTTTTTTTTTTTTTTTAAGCCCCTTTTCTGATGTTATAGTGGCTTAGCAGAGGCGAGACGTTCCAGCCACTTTACTCAGCTGTCTGCACAGTTTCATTTCAAAGAGCATTGGAAGAATGTTTTTTATATCAGTCACCCTAATATGTGTTCCTTTGTTGGGACAGAGTAATAGCAAGCATCCTACTGGGGCCTGAATCTACATGGGCTTCTTCCACCAGGGCTATGGCATGAGCGGAACTTGAAGATGTTTTTTATATTCGATGACAAGTATTTGGAACTTAACACAGGCAGATCGCTAGCCAGACTGTTGTAAACTACTGTAGAACATCACTAAGTACATCTTATCCTACCCCCTCCCTTAAAAAAAAAAAGACAGTTATGAAAACAGACTAGGAGAAATCTCGGGGGGAAATATTTTTACAGCTGGGTTAAAGGGTTTTTATTTCATAATTGTTCATCGAAAGCTTACTTGTCTTTAGGCAAGTTTATTTGTTTAAAATTAGGGAAAAAAAACTTCAATTACTAGCAACACATTCCTTTTAAACAAACTTCTCTGTTATTTATTAAATATGGTTGTTTAATACAGTAAGATGAAAAGAAAAGAATTTCCTTTGGTTGCTTTTTTAACCTAACAATGTGTAACAGGCAGATGGCTATTAATTTGAAAATATCTGAATCTTTGGCAATACCACCTATCCTATGTTTAAAGATTGCTCCGAAATTTACAATTCTAGCTCTCTCTTTCCCCCTGAGACCTGGTATTTTGTTCCCAAGCATCTTGCAAGGTCTGTCCGAATCCAAATAAGGCTTTCCTTACACCATGGATGTAGTCAGTCTTCCATGGAACATTAATTTTTCTTATTTTCCTTACTTTTTTTTTTTTTTTTAAAGACTTTATTGTTTCTTAGAGCACCTTTAGGTTCACAGCAAAATTGAGGGGTGGTTCAGAGATTTCCCCATAGAACCCGGGCCCCCTGAATGCACAGTCTCCCCCACTACCTATAGCCCCCACCTAAGGGTACATTTGTTAGAACTGATGAACCTCCATGGACACATCACCACCACCCAAGGCCAGAGTTTGCACGAGGGCTCTCCCTTGCTAAAGTTCATAGGTGGGTTTGGCAGGGGCGGGCCTGCCAGTGCCACACCAGTGCTGTTGGGCGGCATCTGCGTTTCCGCCGCGTCGCTGCCTCGTCATCGTGCTGGTGGTGCCCCACGTCTGAATGCGCCACAGCTCGCTTTCCTCACCCGCAGGGGGACGCTCGGCTCTAGAAACATGATTTCCTGCCCTTTATGCCACTTGCGCCTCTCTGCTTGGCTTCTTCAGTGCCAGGTCCTAACTCATGGTGCTGCCAGCTTTCTATTCGCATGAGCCAGACACTCCAGACAAATGTTTAGCTTTTTCACTCTAGCCCTCCCATGTCTCCCACAGCAGTATCTTAACAGTTCTAATTCAGTGATACCGCACAATAACCTTTTGCTTAAAAATTATGTATTCCAGCCTTTCTATTCCCTTGGCCTAATCCAGGCCCGGTCTCTTTTCCTGACTTCCCGAAGGGCTTATAGTGAGTCCGCCTCTCTCCATCCTAGGGCCTCTCAGGGTACACTTGTGTTTATCATCTCCTCTGGTTTCTTCCTCCCTGGTCCTTCCCCCTTAACCTTCCACATGAAAGTCATGGTTTTTAAAATCCTTTACAATTTGGCATGATCAAAAATGTTTTTTCAAATTGTGCCATTATTCTGTGTCATCAGATTGTTCAGCCCTTCTCACTGGCTGGAAATGCTCTTCAGATTTCCAGCTTTTTGAAACCTACTCATCTTTCAAGCCTCCTGCCAGATGTTAGAACCTTTCTCAATCTCCCTTGTTGGAATTGCTTCTTCCCTCTTTGCTCTAGGGTGCTGTGAACTCTGTCACCATCTTCCAGAAGGAGCCTTGTGGCAAACAATTACTTTTTTCTTTATCACTAGATTTTGAGTGAGCATTTTGGGGTCAGGAACTTTCTCTTGTCTTCGTTTCTCCCTAGAACCTACATCTGTCTTAGAAGTAAAAGTTAATCAGAGACGTCGATGTATCTGGAATGTAGTCAGTGTGTTCAAGATTTGAATTCATGTCATAGCATTTTCGGTGCAGATAAATAAGCCAGTTCCTTAACATCACATTATTTACCAAACTTCTGTGTAGCTCTGTTAGGCAAGTGCAGCAGTCAGAACTGCGCAAGTGCAGCAGTCAGAACTGCCATCCGCAAGCTCACTTGCTCTCAGTGGCAGAGAAACAGTCAGTAAAATCAAGTCCATGGAGTAGAGTCCCCCACAAACTACCTAGCATTTTCAGCCTTTTTTTCAGGCTGTTTATTCTACAAACCATTTTTGTGACATATCAAACCATTTAGTTGATTTATATGGTTTCCAAGCTTATCGCAGGTAAGGTATAAGAGAGACCCGAGTGTGTAAGATTATCTGTTTATTTGAACAGAGAAGTTTAAAATACTACTAGGACACATTCTATTCAAAAATGGGTACAAATGAAAAAGAATTTAGTGTCAGTCCTGAGTTATCCATGTGAGCCTCAGTAGCAAAGTGTATTATGTCAAAATGACCTTGAGGCTATTTCCTTTGAGAACTGCTCAGCGTATTAGGAGAAAAATTTAATGAGGCTACCCTATCAGGCACGGGACTATCCTTATGATTCCAGAGAATTTAGATGGAGTTAACATTCCACCACCAGCTCCCTGCCATGGTAATTCTTGACTTGCTATTAATGTTTACGTCCTCTCCTGGTTTTGGAATATGAAGTTTAAAGACGTGGTAATTTTAATTCCGTGTAGTTGCAATGCTTTAAATACTGTTTGAGAGACTGACATATTTCCTTGAGAAGTGTTTTTGCATTAACAGTGTTAGTTGAATAAAATTCTTTCTAATATATTAAGCATAAAGGTAACCAAAAAGACTCAGTCTTAGCTCATGATGTATAAGGACCAAGTACTATAAATTGTCTGCAAAATAAAGTAATGGCATTAGTTGTGCAGATAGAAGATAAAACCTAAGCGCTATCAAAGTTTTAGAAACTAGTTATAAAAGAAATTTCATAATGGCTTAATAATTTATGTTTTGTGCGGCTTATTTATAACAGTAAGATATTTTTCAATCATCTTTCTCATCAGATTTTAATCAAATATTAACTTTAAAATTTTATACTTTTTCTTACAGAGCCTTCCTAATATTCTCACTGATGATCGATTTAAAGTTATGTTTGAGAACCCCGATTTCCAAGTGGATGAAGAAAGCGAAGAATTTAGGCTTTTGAATCCTCTTGTTTCGAAAATTGGTGAAAAAAGGAAGAAGAAACTAAGACTCTTAGAACAACAGGAACGTCATGAAAAGGTGATGTCTTCATCATTATGTAGATTTTGCTGTTTCTTTAATGTGAAGATTTCTGTGTAAGTTAGAAGAGCCTTGAGTACACTTAAGATGTCATTTGTCTGACCTTCAGCTTAGAATACATCTTTCATGAAAGGCATTTCCCAGCATGCCATGGCACGTGCTCCGAGGGTCCTTGCCACTTAAAAGAGAATCGTGGGTCAGTGGTGGGTCTGAGGGAAAGGAGTTGCTGCTACTGTTTTTATTTCAGGAAGAGGAGGAAGAACCGGAAGGAAAACCAAGTGATGCTGAAAGTTCTGAGAGTTCGGATGATGAAAAGGGCTGGGTTGAAGAGGTCAGGAAACAGCGCAGGCTTCTCCACCAGGAGGAAAGAGCGAAGCGGCAGGAGCAGCTCAGAGAGGACCGGCAGACGGTCCTCAAGCCCCAGTTCTACGAGATCAAAGCAGGAGAAGAATTCAGGAGCTTCAAAGATTCTGCCACCAAGCAGAAGCTGATGAAGTGAGTACCCTGCACGCAGGGACGTCTGCACTTTCTGTCCTGGCACATTGCCCTGGGCTGGAATTTTGATCTTTGCAGTTAACGTGAGGGAAGCACCACACCGGCTCCGTGATGAGTATTTTAACAGCTTTTGCGCTGTAGTTTTCATACAGTCAGGTCCGGGGCTGGCCTGACCAGAACTGGTAGATGTGCGTTAGAACGCTGAAACTGCAAACCCGTTTGCTGTCCTGTTCTTCCCCGGTGGCTCCCTGAGTTACAGATCTCTTATCTCACTCTGTGCCCTACACTGCAGCAGCCTCTGTACAGTGGTAAATAGCAGGCCGCGTGTTCTTTGTCACTTGGCAAAGTATTGTTTCAGTTACGTCTCCATCATCTCACGTATCTGATTATTGAAAAGGTCGCTTGGAAAATTTGCCAGGAGATTTAAGCCCTCTGCAGGAACAGTGAGAGAGCGGAAAAAACGGTCAGGCAGCTCCGGAAACTAGCCTTTCGGGACCTACTGGAAGAGAACTCACTCACCCCATAACTCCTTGACGGGAAAATCTGGGAGCAGTTGTTGGTAGTATAGCCATGGTAATAGGACGCCTTGACTGGGGGTGGGAGACAAGACCCATCTCCCTGCCTGTGGGTTACAGCCGGCCATTAGTGTAATGGACAAAGGGATAAACATTTAGTATTTAATGAAAATGACTAAGTTAGTGCCTTGCAACTAAACAGTTTTACTAAGTAAAACATCACTAAATTAAATACTCTTTTTGAAATGAACTATGTAAGTCATAATACTTACATAAACTTAAAAAGAAAAATCTTGTTGCTTAATGTACAAGCCCTTGGCATGAATAGCCTGCACTTGACTGGCATTTTGGCACAAGCAGCTTATTGAATTCTAGTCTTGACTGGATTGTTTTGGCAAATCCCAAACTTGCAATATCTCACATTATTTAATGAAGCATTGAACTATTATCCTTCAGAGATTCACTGAAGTGACTCCTTATGTTTACTCTGGGAGTTGCCACATGGCAGTCAGTAAAGCCCAGCATCGAGAGTGACTGTATTGTTCACATGTTCACTTGGATGTGCCCTGCTTTAAAGCTCTCCGGTAAAGGGAAAAGTGACTCATGAATCATCGCCCAGTTCTTGGGTGAGTTCTCTTGGCCTGGCACAGTGATGCGGTTTTCAATAGTCACGTCTGTCAGCGCCTATGTACATGCCTTGCATCTTTCTATTTGTAAGTTTGCCCACCCACTGCCAACCTCTCCACCCACCCACTTATTCACGAAACTTTCCTTGAGTGCTGAAAGCAGAGTGGGAAGGATGGCAGAGGCCCTGGTGCGCACGAAGGACACTTGGAGGCTGAGGGGAGTGGGAGCGGGAGCGTCGCTCTCTGGACGCCTCGGAAAGGAGCCAGAAGGCGAGGTGAGCCCCAGCCTGGGAGCCAGGGAAGGCTGTCAGCGAAGGGGAACATGATTAAATCTGTTCCAACGCCCACCCCAAGTAAGGTGAGGACCCTTCTAGTAAAAGCACGTGTGGGAAAAAACAAAAACATCTAGGCATAAAGTCTCTGTTTTCCAGAAATCTGTTAAAATGTCTCAGTTTTAGAGACAAAATGCAGAGAGAAACCGGACCCCTGAGATCAGCTAACAAGCTGTACCATGGTCTCCTGGAAGCAATGCGAGGCCGCACTGTGGGGTGGCGCGGCACAGCCAGCCTTAGAATCACATTATTCATTAGCCCGTCTAAGAAGAAGGAAACATAGGCCTGCACTACCACATTGTCTGGGTACTAATTTAATTTCAAAGGAGAAAGGAAGAGCCGGGGTGGTGTGGAAATGTCTGGCCGTGTTGCCACTGAGATTAAAAAAAAAAGGACAGGGTGCAGACAGGTGGAATGAAGCACCGGATGTGCCCGCACGGCCTGTGATTCGTGTTGGGTAGCGGAGGGAGGTGTCGGGGCGGAGACGCTGGCTTTGGAACTTCGAGCTGTTGAGCTGTAACTGAAGGAAGGAGGCTTAGTCTAAGTGTGTGAGGACTAAGAAGGGAGTCCTTGAATCAGCAAGTATTTTTCTTGTACCCCTCTTTAGACTGTGCAAAGTAAGGCATGTAATCGTAGGGCTGTCCCAGGTGCTCGGTAACAGGGCTCCGGTGGACAGTGAGTTACTAACCAGCTGTCAGAAAGCTAGGAGGAGAACTGGAAAGAGCAGGTGTGGCGAGAAGGGCCTGAACTGGGCGGGTCCAGGTGTCGCGTGGCAGAGGAGGCCGCTGGAGTGGTCTTTCCCAGACTGGTTTTTGGGCGCTTGGCCTGTCTGCTGTGATGGATCCAAGAGTGAGGAGACAAAAAAATACTGTGAGCATCAGTGCGGGTGATTCTTCCCGAAGTTTGGCGGTGAGGGAAATGAGTCAAAACCGGGAGCTTGATAGGAATGGTTTCCTAGGCGCGGGGGTGTGGCTGCTAGCCGGCAGGGGCAGAGGGGCAGCGAGGAAAGGCGAGAGTGAACTGGATGGGCAGCCGGATTTACTGGGGCATGAGCAGGAAATGGGGCAGAGACGGGTTGGTAAGGACATAGCTTCAGAAAGGGGGTGGGAGCATGATCAGGAACACTCAGGAAGAAGCCGGGGTGGCCATGCTTGCCGGCCTCAGCCGGAGGCGGGCACAGCAGCCTCTTCTGTTGTCTGGGGCTAAACACAGCCCTGCCAGACAGCTGACCTCAGGCGGCGGGCTGGAGTGACACATCCCCATAGCTGCGCCTCGTGCCTCTTCTTGAGTAATAAATTCTACCTGCTGGGTGGCCTTTCCATTCGGTTTGTGGACGTATTCTTTGAAGTGCCTATCTGTGGTAGGTCCTGGAAATTCAAAGATTTTTAGGTGTTTCCCGCCTTTGAACAACTCGTCGTCTTTACCTGGCGGTAGGAGCGCCTGCGAGCGGCTTGTCGCCTCTGCAGCTGTCGCCGCTTGCAAGACTCTGGCCAGCGAATGGCAGCGCGTTCTCCCCTCGAGACAGCGAGGGTGCGGCAGGGGCTGAGGAGCGCGGTCTTGTTCCAGTCTAAGCATTTTTCAGATCTGTTTTTGAGAGCAATTTTATTCCAAACTTTTACTTAAAAAAGATAATACTTTATTACTCAAGTAATACAAGCATGTTTCATTATATTAATAATTTAGAATAAAAGGTGAAAATGTCTCTTGCCCCACCTCCCCCCCCCACCCCCGGGTAGCTGCTGTGCACCGTTTTCCCGTATGTGTCCACACTCACGTGGGTGTAGTTGTAAGTCTTCTGTGATGTGAGGGCGTCCTCCAGCCATATTGCTGATTAACGTGCTTTTTTCATTCGATGTTAAGTTTTGAAATTTCTTCTTTGTGGGTACGAGTTGGTAAGGCCCACCCTGCGGCTGCGCACGTGTCACAGGACAGATGGGTTGGACTATGTCATGTCCCTAAGTTTACATGTTTGGATTATTTCTTGTCACCTTTCTCTCTTACCTTTTCTTCTTACCTTTTCCTGCCTTTTTCACATTTCTTGTCACCTTTCTCTCTTACCTTTTCTTCTTACCTTTTCCTGCCTTTTTCACAGCTACTAATATGTACACACGTGCCGGAATTTCTCTAGAATCTATCACCTAGTGGTGGAACTTGCTGGATCAAAGGGCTGGTGTGAGAGACGCAGCATGTTGCCCTCCAGAAGGCTCTGAGCTCTTGGCCTCCTCCCGGGCCTGCTTCCCCTGCTCGCACCCGTGCAGGGTAAAGGCCCTGCAGGTTTAGCTGAGCCCAGAGATGAGGTCCTCCACCTGTGGCGCGACCCAGGGCTTTGAGGCAGCATCGCATGGACATAGTTTCTGGTAGCCTTACCGGTACTTGTCGTTTATAAAGCCGTTCACTTAAAACAACGTATTTTAAAGTTTAAATACTTGAATTCGCTGCTGATGTGTGGATCCATTTCTCCTTTCTCTCTGTATTCCCTTGACATTGACTGGGGGGGGGGTAATTCCTTTATTTTTTGATTTTTTTTATTTTAATTAGAGTACATTTAACTCTTCTAAAGGCTGTCTTAGCATAAATGCCTTTTGTATATTGTATCCACCCCCAGCTCCCTCTCCACATACCATCTTCTCAGCAGTCTCCCCAAAAGGGAGGGTTGGTCAGCTGTTCCTTTTGTGACAATGAGATTTTTCACTAAAACTTTTAACTTTTAATTACAAAATACCCTGAAGCCCCAAAAACCTGAAGTCTAGTTGGGAAAGAAGCAGGACTGGGAGTCGGGGGTGCAGGCTGAGGTCCCTGCTGAGAACCCTGCAGTGCTGGGGCGGGGTCTGCCACTGTCCTCCTGTTGCAGCAGGCAATGTTCAGGTGCCTGTCTCCTTAAATCATCTCCCCGCCGCCACCCGGGGTAACAGGCTTTGGAGGTGCTGGTTCACAGCCACATTCCCTAAGCCGACTTTCAAAGGGGGGGAAGTGGAACTTGCTTTAATGTAGAAATCTCCACACTCAGTCCCTGTGTCTGATCTTCTGCCATGGCTCGTTCTAAAACTCAGCTTGTCTCTCCAAGTAGCCTAGACAGAACAAGTTTTTACAAGTGCACGTCGTGAGTACATTGAGCAAAAACCAGAATTTATATACCCTATCATGGAGGAAATAAGGTCATTCTTAAAAGAGTAGTAATTTCCCACAATTTGCTTGAGAAGGCTTTTTCTTCCTAAATGAGTGTCTTCTGTGTACCACCTTGTCTCAGTGGCTCCACGGTTATTCAGGAGTCCTGTTCGCTTGGAAAGCTCAGCGTTTATGGCTATGAAAGACAAGAACAGAAGTGAAATGAACAGGTTGGGGAATTTGCTTAGGCTGACAATGCCCGTGCGTGCTGGAGACCGTTCCCACTTCATTTCTGAATTCTGGTTAAAAGAAAAAAAGTTAAACTAAGTCTTAATTTCCTTCAGTTTATCATGTGCAAGCTTGTCCCTTAGAATACTTACTGGACACATTTCCTGAACAAAACTTTATAAATCAAGCAGGGTCTGACACATGCCTGGAAACCAGCACTTCTTAAATTGGAATCCTGGTCTTCTCCTGGAACCCTTATGTGGCCTGGGGCGAGCCATTTAACACCCTACCTCCCTTTTTGCCATCTATAAAGGATAAATACTTCTGTCTCAGGGATGTTGAAAGGATTAATTAGTTAGTCTGTAAAGAACTTTGAAGATGAAAAGTACTTTAAAAGTGCTTCTTAATAACATTATTGCTTAGAAAAGAGCACCACTTTTATGCTAACCACTTTATGTCTCAAATTATACACAGAAGGTGTGTTTAGTAAGTCACTAGTGGCCATAAACCAGAGGTGAATCTCTCCTGTGTGAACATCAAACATCAGCTTCAGAATTTCAAAGGAGCACCACTGTCTCATGGATCATTTAGGAGCTGGTTCTGCTCGGTAATTAGTTGTGAAGATCTTATTTCAGGAGAAAGCAGACCCCTGTACACAGTCCCACCCCCCCCTCCCCCCCCCCCCGCTTTCGTTAACCAGTTTTTTTAGAATTAAGTTTAAAAGAGCACAGTATTACTTTGTGAAAAGAGGGTTAAAAAAAGGAAGTGTGTTTATTTTGAAGAGGAAGCAGAATAGAAGAAAGAAGCATATTCTTTGTCTTTTCCTTCCTGTCCTTTTTGCTTCTACTTTCATCACAGGGATGCATGGATGTTGCTTCAGCCTTTTCTAGTTAAAACTTAAATTGAAAGTACATATTTTAGGCTTAATTCCATTTTTTTTCCCTCCAAACCAAATTCGCAAAAAGGGCCAGTGTTCAGATTTTATAATGCAACGCCACTGTGACAACATGCAGTGAAGCAGAGCGCGTCGGCACGGGATTCCAGCGTCGCGTCTCTGTTGGGAGGGGCGTGGGGGGTGTCCGTGATGAGGTGACACGGAATTGCAGGGCACAGCAGCCCACAGCCGGGACACAGCTGATACCAAGAGACCCTAGAAGGGCTTGGAAAATATGAACAAGAAATGAAATAAAATGTAAAGGGTGATTCAAGGAAGAAATAGAAAGGACGAACATGCCCGGAGAGGTAGCCGTGAGCGGGACTGAGCCAGAGACCCACAGGGAAATTGCTCGTTTTCTCTGATCAGCCGCGTTCATGTGTGCGGTCGTTCGCACTCGGGATGCGCCCTGTCTGGGAGCTGGTGGGAAGGGAGCACCTGCTCACTGGTGCTTCACCCTGCCCTGGGCGTGGCCCTGAGGGCTTCGTTATCTTGACTCCTCTGTTGAAGGTGAAGTTGCTGAGATGCTCGCTAACCCCCACCTAGCTGAAGTAGAAAATGCCTGATTTATTACATTTTTACTTCATAATATTTTAAGTTTCATTGTAATATAAAATGCTTTAGAGGCCTAGTGGCCAATGGCAATAATTTCTTCAGAAACAGGATTAAGTGGCAGCGTAGAAGTACTTGGCGCTGCCATTCAGAAGACTGAACTGCTTTTACTGCGCAGCCAGTGGGCCTGGGCGAGGGCACGCACCCAGATGCTGCCACGGACTGTGACGTGAATCATGTTCTGTCTTTATCACGAGTGGATTTTGTCTTCATGTGGCCAATCCTAATTAAAACTTGTCTTAAACGGTAAATCAAAATAGAAGATGAATGAATGTGTCATTCTCTTCACTTTCCTCTAGTAAAACCCTTGAGGATCGTTTGAAACTGGAAGCAAGGAGTGGCACATTGAGTGTATCAGACACCACCGTTGGCAGCAAACAGTTGACGTTCACGTTAAAGAGGGTGAGTTGTTTTTGTTATATTTTATTTCACAGAAGAATGGACTTCTAACAATGACCTCCAAACAACCTTCCCAAGCTTTCCCCTTGTTCTAGCACCTTCCCTGTAGCCCAGCCCAACCCCGGGTTGAGAGCACAGCGCCAGTCTTTGGTCGGGCCAGGCATGTTTCTGGGGTCCAGGAAGGCAGAGGCTGGGGGGCCGGAGAGTTGGCACTGCTGGTGCGGAACCAGCTGGTGGTTTCTGGTCCTGGGAGCCAGAGATGCAGCCTTGTGAAGGGAAAGCCTGGCCATCTGAGGCTATAAAAAATCCTTAAAGCTTCCATGAACTTGGAGGACCAAGCATTGGTGAGCTCTAAGACACGCGTGGCTGTCTCCAGGATGCCGTGGGTTCAGAAAGTGGGTCACTGTTCTGAGCTGATTGTAAGAGCCGTATCCTAACTGACTTTAATAACGCCTGGCATGCATTATGGGGGCATGAGCTGCTTTAATATTTCCTGTAACTCATGAGCAAAACTGCATGGTTTTATTTTTCAAAAAAACTTTTTCTCATTCACAGTCGGTTCCCCCAAAAACACCACCTCAGGATTTTTTTTTTTAATTGAGCTACAGTTCCTAAAATTGTACCCATGAAAATTCACCCTTTGAAAGTGTACAATTTAGGGCTGTTAGTATATTTGCTGAGTCATGTAACTGTCGCCACTAATTCCAGGGCCTTCTCATCCCCAAAAAGAAGCCCTGTTCTCTTTAGCAGCCACCCCACAAGCCCACCCCTACCGAACCCCGCTCTCCCCCCCACCTCCCACCCCCCACCACCCCTCCGCCCGGGCAACGCCTCAGCTGCTTTTTGTCTAGATTTGCCTGTTCTGGACGTTTGGTATCATAGGTGGGCCAGACGCTGTGTTCTCCCGTGTGTGGCTGGCTGCGTGCGCCTGGCGAGATTTCGAGGTGAACCCGTGGGCAGCCTTGCCAGGGCTGAATAGTATCTCCTCATGGGGATACGGCCACGCTTTGCTCCAGGGCTGCTGGCCTTTCTCTGGAGGGGCTGTTGTGAAACGCTGCTGTGTAGATCCCCTTTGAGTTCCCTGCAGTCCATGGGCACATGCCTCAGAGGGGAGTCAGCAGGTCACTTGGTGACTGCGCTCCCCGGGGGGGGGAGGGAAGGGGGGTGAGCCTCATGTCCTGCCTCCTCACCACCTCTAGTCGCTCTGGTGCTGCTGGCTCCGCTCCCTGGTGAGGATGCCCAGGTGCCGCTCCTGCCCTGCCTCTGCGTCCACGCTCCGCGTTGATTGAGTCAAGCAGAGGCTTTGAGGAAACAAAAGTCAGTGCTTGACTTATGCCTGTTTAATCATTTGATAATTTAGGTAATTGATGATTTATTAAATCTCAATTTTATTTAAGAATATCGAGGGATTTGTGTGGCTTTGGTAGAAATCTTTAAACTACACGTGTGATACATCCAGATAAACTCTTGAGTTTTCCTCCTGTTCTCTAAAATAGGGGGGGGGTCTGTGCTGTCAGCTTCCCCACGCACTGGGCTCTAGGAGAGGGGTCAGGGACAGAGCAAGGGGAGACTGGGAAGCAGCTCGGAGATGAGCTCCCGGCCGGCCCCTCCTTCAGAGCAAGTGTGTTCAGGCTGGCCGGCGCGGCCTCTGGAGGCCGAGTGTGGTCTCTAACTGGGGCAGGGCCTCAGCAGAGCGGCTCTGCCGCTCCCAGGCGCCTCTGCGGCTCCTGCCTTCGGGAAGGTATGGCAGAGCCCTGGGCGCGCCTGGGGACTGCTTTGTGGGGGGACACCAAAGCAAAGGTCCACAATGACGGACGCACCCTAGGAGTGTCTGTCTGCCCTGTTTACTATGGAAAACTAGTACCTCGTTTTCCAAAGTGACTTGGGTAAGAAACACTTTCTCTAGGGATGCTTTTCCACATGAAGAAACAAATTGCTGGATAGTCAGTGTGTGTTGACTTGGCCCGTCCCGGCAACACTCTGTTTGGCCTGCAGGGAGCGTGCAGTGTCCCTTGTGGTTTCTGGTTGCCCGCCTGTCAGTGTGGGGGATGTCTGCTCTATGCGTGCGCGGGCCAGGGTCAAACAGGGTGCTTCGGCCTTGGCCATGGCCTTGCCGCCAGCCCTCAGTCTGTGGTTAGATTATTCGAAGGGGGTGAGTGCTCCGGCAGCTGGCGGAGGCTGGCGAGTGGGGAGGGGAGGCACAGCCGGGGTGCTGCTGCCCCGTTCCCGCTGGGCCAGTGGCAGAGACGGAGCTGGGCCGGCGAGGAGACAGCACCTGGGTGCAGCGAGCTGGACGTGGTGCTGATGAGGAAAAAAATGATTCAGAATCACTTCGGGCTCCTGCTAGAATGGCAGAAACACATCTTCTTCCAGCCTTAGACATCAGCTCCTCTCTCCCTGTTCCCACCTCCCCGGTCCTTTAACTTTGGAATATTGAGTAATCCCAGCAGGCAGTGATGGGCTTTTTCTTCAAGAGTAAAATGCTCCTGAAAGAGTATTTTTAGGAGCGTAGAAAAAGTAGAGGTGGCAGGCAGGCCTCCTGGGGGCCTGCAGCGCTGCTTGTCAGCTTTTAAAACGTATGCCCCGCAGCGCCTCCTCGTTTTACCTTCTTGTAGTTCCACCCACTACAGATTGTCCTGGAGCTTCACGTTCAAGCATGTGTATTGTTAAAAGTGTGTTTTTAAAACCCGCACCTCTTGCCTCCCCCCGGAGTCTGTGTGGATCCTCCTCTAACCCTGAGCCGCAGTCGGAAGCTTTGGGGCGGGAGGGGAGAACGGTCAGCTTCCGGCGCAGCAGGTGGCGCTGAGCCTGAGGGGCGCAGCCTGCCAGCAGCCCACATACCCCTCCAACCGCCCCTGCCCTTGTCTGCCCACCCCTCTCCGTGCGGAGGGGCCGCAGGTCATGGCTCTGAAGGGGAATTTGATTTTTTGGAAAAGTCCCCAAAGCCAGCCCTGGTGGGTGGGTTGACCGCGAGCGCGTCTGGTGTACTCACGGAACAGCAGCGCTTGCTCAGTGTGGCTGAGGCAAGGGGCAGAGAGACAGAGATGCGTGTGCAGGAGCTCGTGCACCTGGGGGTGCCCACACCTCCGGGGGAGAGGGGCGCGTGTCCTTGAAAAATATCTCTGGCGTCGTGCGTGCTAAGAAGCCAGTCTGTGCTTTGGGGTTCAGATGGGATGTCGGTGCTGCTCTCACCCTGGGTTAGATGCCCCAGGTGTGCAGTGGGGAAGGCTTGGGCCCGCGGCCTGGGCGGTGTGGCCACCTCCTGCCCTCAGCATTCTGGTGGCCGCGAAAGGGCTGTGGGGCTCCCTGTCCCCTTACGCCTCACTCACGCTTCTCTTCTAGTCTGAGCAGCAGAAGAAGCAGCAAGAGGCTGAGAAGCTGCACCGGCAAGAGAGGAAACGCCTCCGACGCCCAGCCGGGCACCTCAAGTCCAGACCCAGGCAAGGGCGGCCCTTCCACTGAGGTGCCACCGTGCTGGCCGCCCCTCAGGCACATGACACCGTCAGCACACACATCTGTGAAGTTCCAGATGATTCCTGATTCATCTCCAGAGGCAGCGATGTGGGGGTTTGTCCTGTGCCTCATGGGTCAGACTTTGAAACTTGTCCGTCCACCCCAAACTAGCCGCTGTGTCCCCCACCCCGCCCCCAGAGTGCTCTGTCACCTCTCCCTCTAAGCGTTGTCCTTTTGCCCTGGTTGAAATCAAGTAAACCAGGTGGTTGTTCCTGACATTGGGAAACGCCTGCCGGGAAGGGGAAGGTCGTCCTGCGCGAAGCGTGAGGGCTGGTCCTGCAGCGCCTGTCGCCGGCTGGGCCAGGCCGCCGGGAGCCCCTCCCGTCTGCGGCGCGGCGCGGCGCGGCCGTGCTGGCGTGTTGTGTGCGTTGCTTATTTATGTGTGTTTGGGGTTTTTAAAACCTACTTTTATACTAAGAGAATATAATTTAAAACAAGAAATAGAAGCCACTGATTTACCTTTTAGCTTGGAACAAGATTAAATACACCTCTTTTTGTTTAAGTGCCAGTAGAGACAAGCGGGCCTGGGAACATTTATAAATAAACACTGTCATTTGAACATCTTTTTTAAGAAAGACCGTTCCTTGAGTGAATTTGAAAGGTTACGTTGGTGTGTCCTTCACTTTCAGATATTGTGATGTTGGAGGGGCCTTTACAGTTGCTTAGTGCACAGCGGGAGCGGTGGCGCTTTGGACAATAAATTACAGACTTCAGCTTCTTGCTGACTGGCTGTCAGGGAAGAGGCGGCGAACAGGGATGGGCCACAGAAGCACCTGGGTCCATGGCCCCAGGTTGTCAGGCCTCACTCCCCTTTCTTTTCAGGCTCTGGTTCCAGCGTGTCCCTTTCTCCTCAGCTTCCCCTTCACTCTCCCCTTGGCACCCACACCGCCGTTTCTCTGTGCAGGCCGACCTGCTGCAGCCGGCAGGGGCCAGCATGGGCCCTGAGTCCACGTCTGTTGTCTGTAGGGGAATCTGCTTCCAGGAAAAACTCGTGGGGGTTGGGACACTGGGGTTGTGTAGTGGAGACAGGCAGTCACCAAAGAGAGACCTTCGTCCTCTGGGCGGCGCCCCCAGCCTGTGTCAGAGGACCCTCCACCTCTTTTGGTCCCGGTCCCAAGGGCTTTTCTGCTCCTGTGCCCTGACTCCGGTCCCCACGCCTCCTCCCAGGGGCTGCGGCCGTGCCTGGCTGGAGTCCTTCCCTGGAAGACAGCGCTTGGGACTGCCTCCTGAGAGCCCGCTCTTCCTCGCCCTTCCTTTGGGGGTACCTCCGTGTGGCAGGTGGGAGACAGTACATCACAATTAAATACCGAGCCCCTGCCACTGTGGTGGTGCACTGCTCTGAAATGCCAGGCTTCCGAGACTGGCAGCAGCATCTCCATGTCGACAAGGACGCTGGGCCCATCTGGACGCTGGCTGCTGGCTGCGGAGCCAGGCTGCTCGCTTTCAGCTCTGTCTGTGGGCTGTTTATTGAACCGCTTCGAGTCTCGTTTTCTCCTATAAAAGCCTCCTCTGTGGTTTCTGTGAGGAGGCGCTAACCTTGAGCCAGGCCATGAGCCTCCTGGTGCTGGGCGGGCTGCTCTCGCCGGCTCCCCTCGGCCATGCAGGCGCCTCTGACCATGCCCGTCTCCAACACCGAGGGTTCCGAGAGCAGGGGCCGCCCCTCCGCTTTTGTGTTGGGGTTTGGAGGGTAAATGAAGTGATCGGGCTTTTTTGCGCCCTCGCACGCTAGCCCCTGTGAGGGACACCTGCGGTCTTGCACGCCTTCCACGGTGACAGGCGCCAGGGCCCAGAGCACGGTGCGGCGTGTGTGGATGCTGCTCTTGCAGGACGGAGGTGGCGGGGCACAGCGAGGAGGACACTGAGGCAGGAGGGCTACAAGATAGAACGCCTGCGCGAGGCAAGCGAGCAAGGGGTGCAAAGACCTGTGGGTGGCTGGGGGTTGTTGCCTGCCCCCCTGCCCGGCCCGGCCCTGCTTCCCTTTGTGCCTGGTTGCCTGGATTCATCATTACAGCTCTGAAAATGCAGTGAGGGCTCCGGGCTCTCCGTCTGCCCGAGTCCGCCTCCAACCTGGCCCATGCGTGCTGGCGCAACAGGCTTCCTGGAAGGGCAGCTGGGGAGGCCTGGGGTGACTCTGGGGCAGACATTAGAGAGAAACTTGCTGACCATGTAGGTGCCTGGTCCTTTCTCGGGGCTTCTCCCTCCGCTCAGCCCATACCAGCCCTGCCACTGTGGGAACAGCTTCCTGAGCACCGGCAGGTGCTGGGCGAGAAGGCAGAGCGCAGGCGTGTGAGGGTGGGCGGCGAGGGTGGTCGCCCGCTGCGGAGGTGGCAGCGCGCTCCGCTGATTGCTTCTGCTTTCTCCCTGGAGTCGGAGCAAGGTCATGGCCCAAGGTGAGTCTCCTTCCCGGCCTCTCCTTGTCCCACTTCCCCAGTTGCTCAGCGAGCTCCCCTGAAATCAGAGCCTTTGTTCTGGCTGACCCTCAGCGCAGCAGCTGCCCTTCCGGTCCCCTCGTCTGCGTCCTGCTCCCGCGGCTGGCTTCGGAGAACACCAAGTGCTTCCTTCGAGAATAAAGTTGAGCCTGGGCTCTGCTTTTTCTTCACCTTCGTCCCATTGCCTCGCTGGGTTTCCAAAACCCTCTCCCCCGCGTGCTCTTCATACTCTGTCTTCATGCTCTGTCCCACAGTGAGAAACTCACCGGCGTCGTGACAGCAGACACGGCGCCCAGAGTGCCACAGACCGCCTCGCAGCCACAAGGCTTGCTGTGTTTTCTATCCCATCCTGAGTCCTGGTCCTTTGCCCCTTCTGCCTCCCCCCGGTGACACCCATTGGATTGATTCCAGGACCCACTGATGGATCGGCTGTCTGCCCCCCCCCCCCCCCCCCGCCAGGGTGCCTGTGTGCTGCGGGGGGCAGGGGGGGGGGCTGCAGAGCCTCCAAACTCTGTCCCTCGGGCCTGTGATTGTTGCTTTTTTGACCTGTAGTATGTTGAGTAGCCCCCACCCGCCGGCCTTGTCCTGATTCCCGAGTGAGTGGGGCCTGAAACATCTTGCTGGAGCCTCTGTGAGTTTAACTGAAGCCACAAGGTGAATGTTTTACTGGTGTGTTGAATAACTATCCTCAGCATAAATTAAATGCAAGTGGATGTTACAGCAAAACAGCTGTAGGGGATTAATAACAGAAGGTTTTGTGGTTTCTAGGTAAACTTAATGTGTTAAATATCTGGGCTTTTATTTGACTGATTTGGTTTCGAAATGATTTGCAAACCTCATTTTACCTGTAGCCGGGAACTTGACCTGTAGCCTGAAGTTTACTCTACGTTGTTTTAAGCAAACATGGGTGTTGGCAGTTACCTGACCTGGTTTTACTTCAAAAACCCGTCTCCATGATCTCCTCATCAAGGGAGACTCCTCTCCGCATTTAAGAACCCTTAAAACACATACTTTGGTCCAGAAGAAGTCCACGGTGAGTGAGTATGTTGGTCAGCAGTGTATTAGGAGAAGTGATTTTTAAAGTGTACAATAAATGCTGTAAGTAGATATTTTATTTCTTCAACAGAACTAGAAGTGTTTGGCTTAAGTTTTATTTCCTCAGGAAAATTTGGACTTTCCTTCTCTTGGGAGGTTCCTTATATTTGGGCCTTTATGATAACGTCGTTTAAGACACTGCATGTCTCTCTTGCTGTGCTGCTGAAATCTTCAGTCCTGATGATGGTTTTTATTCTGGAAATCGGCTCTTACACATGTAGACACTTACCCAAGTGTTCACGCCGTCAAGAAGCCCAGCAGCTTCACGTTTGGCTCGTCATGAGCACAGCGGGGTGAGCCAAGGCTCCTGTCCTCGCCCAGAGGGCCCAGAACCAATTTCAGGAGGTCACAGCGCAGGCGTCTGTCTTGCTCGGCTCTCCCTGGCGGGGGGAGGGGCGGGGGGGTGGGTGGAGGCCACTTGGGCGCCCCGCCCTGTGCTCTTCAGTCTCAGGGCGCTGGCTCGTGACTCCTGGACTCTGAGGACTCAGGTTGCTCAGGTAGCTGAACCCCCTCTGCCGCAGGGTACCTTTCTTTAGCCTCCGTCCTGCCTGCCACACGCCCAACGGTCAAGAGCCCTTCCCTCCGGTTCCGCGCAGCACTTGAGTTAACACTGGAGCTGAGGCCGCTTGCTGTTCCCGCCCCCACCCTGGCTGCCACGCCAGGTTTCTCAGAAGCACCTGCCGGCCGGCTCCTTATGGGCTTCACTGCTTTTCCCTGGGGCCCTGTCAGCCTGCGGGGTCTCCTGCCGGCTCCTCACCCTCCCCACTGACAGAGGCTGGCATGCACCGGGCATCTCTGAACCTGACTTTCCTCCTCCTCCCTGATACACAGCCCCTGCCCGCCAGCTCTGCTCCGTCTGTGTGCCCCAAACAAAATTCACTGAGCCCTGCCACCCAGGCGCTGGGCCTGCTTGTGGCTGTCCAGTGACCTGAGGCGAAAACTGAGGTTCGTTCAACCAATATATATATGGCCTGCTCTGTGCAAGGGACACAGCAAAGGGCCCTGCTCGGGTCTTCCCTGAAGACCTTGGACCTTGGGAACCAGCGTGAGGGCTGAAGGGATGGCCCCGTGGATGGCCCAGCACTGCACAGCCAGGCTGCGCACCCAGAGGCCTGTGGGAATTTGAGAAAAGACGTGAGAAGGGGAGTTGGTCAGTCAGTCTGGGGGGACACTCCTCGGGAAGGCCCTGGAGGGCTGGGGAGTGTCTGAGCTGGTTTAACATCACAGCTGCCACCACTTTGACCCACTTTGAGAACCACTGAATGAGGCCCTCGTGGGGTTTGGTCTGGGTCTTGGAGGCAGACAGAGCCTTTGTGTTCTCACTGGCCAGGACAAGCCGGCGTTCCTGGTGTGGGTGGGAGCAACTTGGTGCCAGTTTGTGCCCCGGTGACCACCCTCACCTCAGGCTGAGGACGAGGCACCCAAGCCCTGGGACCTGGCTCTGCAGCTGAGGCCCCGCCAGGCACTGCCACCAGGGGAGCAGGACCCCCGCCCTCCGGACCTCCAGGGGCCCCCAGGCCGAGTGGATCCTCCTGCTCAAGTGGACGGACAGCAGGACTGGGGTCCGCAGACCACGCTGTGGGAAACACTCAGCCTGTAATGATGAAGGGCTTTCAGAAGCCAGGATGGAGTTGATGAGCTGAGACAAGGAAACAGGAGGCCTGACCCGGCCCAGACTTGCTCCTGGCTAAGCTGCTGCCAGTGGCCAAGTCGCCCCGTCCGTGCCTGGGTGTCTACGTCTGTGAAATGGGTTTAATAGTATCTGTCCCCTGAAGACTTCAGAGGGTGTTTGTGGGGCTTAATGAGTGAGGGCCATTAACCCCCTGAGAAGAAAGGTGTAAGTAAATATAAAGCACTATTGTAATTAGCTTCAGCTTCTTTAAACCAGGTCGAATCTTGTTTTAAGAGGGTTACCATGACGACAGGTTTGTTTGAAAAACACACTTTAAAAAAGGTGTGGCCTTAAATCTCACAATAAGAAGTAAATTTTATTTTGCTGGTTTCTATTGTAATGAAGAGCCATCTAGCTGGATGGCTGCCAGCCTTCCCTGCAGCGGGCGGCCCTGCGTCCTGTCCACCATGGTGCCAGCACCACACAGGGTTTCTCGTGGGCACTTAACACATGAGTCTGAATTAATGAACCCCCAGTGCCTGGCATTCCACTGCCTGCACAGAAGGAAGGTGAGACTGTAGTACCAGTAACACTGAGTGCATCAGGCTGTTCCAGGTAACAGAATCTACATGAGAGCGTGATGGATAGCTGACTGACTGACAGATAAGTGAAAGGTGGAGATGTACTCCAAGGAAGTGGCTATGGAGGCTGCCATCTCCCAAGAGCTGCTTCAGGCAAGGTGGAAACCCAGGAGGCCCAACGGCATAAGTTCCAATCAGACCCGGCAGACGTGAGAGTCAAGAAGAGTAGTTTTTCTGTTTGGGGGCCAGAAAAGATGGATGTCCCCCGCTCACAGTGAGGTAAGAATTCCTCTTACGTAGCTCACAGTGAGGTAAGAATTCCTCTGACGCAGCCTTTTCGTTCTGTTCCAGTCTTCAACTGATTGGACGAGGCCCACCCATGCCCAAGAGGGCAGTCTGCTTTATTCGGCCTACTGCTGATTCGGATAACATCATCCACACACCAGAATGTTTTTTTGTTTGTTTGTTTGTTTTTGTTTTTAAAGATTTATTCGCCTATGCATACAAGAGCTGGGGCACAGGCCAGAGATGCAGGGGGTTGAGAGGACTCACCAGAGACAGAGCAGGGAACAGAACAGGCAGACTGACGAAATACACTGCTGAGGGGAGCAGCGGGCGATACAGGAGAGTTCCACTTCGCCATGTGTGTTTCTTTCCGGCCAGCCGGGGCTTGAACTCGTGCTGCAGAGGCTGCGTTCTGCCCCACAGTGTGGTGCTTAATCCCCTGCGCCACCAGGGAGGTCCAAGACACCAGAATGTTTTACCTGATGTCTGGGCAGCCCGTGCTCCGGCCAGGTGGACATGGGTGCTTAGGGCCACACTGCTCCTTGCTGAGCGCTTACTCTGTGCCCAGCGTGGGTCTCAGCACACGCAGTGAGCTCTCGGTTCGGCCTGCTTGGCTAAATCAACAGGCTGATGAGCAAGTGGAATGGAGAAGCCCCAGGTTCAGCCGAGCGCTTTGCAGGTACCAGGTTACCGCAGGGCATCGGCCAGGCTGGGGGCCAGCTAAGAACCTCGGGAGCAGAAGTTAATTTAGTACTGAGAGTCAAGCACCGGGTCCGATTTCTTTGTATGCAGCTGAGTAGATGACACTAAGTCAATGAGATTTGGGTTTGAGGGGAGCAGAGGCCAAGAGGCATTCTGACCCCAGAATCTGACTCCGTGTTGATGGGTGTCACTCCCCTTCTTGAACGAGACGTGAGCTGTCTGTCCACGCACTTGGAGAGAGCGGATCTGGGTCCCCGTGGCCTCCTGGGCAGACTGCTGGGCTCCGGCGTGTCCAGAACTGCCTTTAGGACCACCCCCTGCAGGCATGCTGGCTCCAGGGCTCCTCCCTGGCCACGGTTGTCAGGGGCATGCCAGGCTGGTGCACTGTGCACGACCACCTGAAAGCCCACCCCCCTCCGGAGTCTGGAGTCCTCAGGTATGCCCGCACACAGCAGCCCTGTGAGGAGGGGGCGACTATAGCCTCCCTGCAGGTAGCCTGGGACCACATATGCTCCTGGGGATACGCACCGACTGTCAGAAAGGGCCGGGTTCCGGAGATGAAGCTTTGGAGAGTGAAATAGCGGAGGAAGGACAAAGCGGGGGTGGTGGGGGGCGGTGACATGGGGCAGGGGACCCGTGCAGACTGGTGCTGAGCTGGGATCACCTGTGCTGGGGTACTGCCACAGGGCACCTGATGCCAACCCAGGAAGGCAGTGCTAGTGGGGAAACAGGTCCCAGCGGGACAGGACTGCTGGCAAGTGGCAGAGACAGGACTTGACGACAGTGAGGCTCACCAGCCCGTCCTTGGGTCTGCCTCGCTGGGTTGTGCTGGGGATTCAGCAAAGGCCACAAGGCCCCCAGGGGCTGGGGGTAGGAGGGATGGGGGGGTGTGGGGAGAGAGCAGTTGGGCTGAAGGACGCTGGGTTCCCAGCAGTCTTCTGGCAGGTGAGAAGCAGCTACGGCAACAGGAGTGAGAGAGCATGCTGGGGTGGGGGAGAGGTGGAGGGGAACGTGGTTCCAGAGGGGTCAAGCAGAAAGGCAGCGAGAGCCCCCTCGGCCAGGGTTCCCGGTCAGCAGAGCCAGGCTGACCCAGCAGCTCTCTAAGGGCTAGATCCTTCCAGAACTTGGGCTTCTCCGGGTCCATTAGGGG